TAAATGCATTTTTTTGTAAATACATATATAATATACATTGGGAACATCCAGACCAATTGAAATAATCATACATATGAATACAAATATTTGTATTGTACGAGGAATCGAAGCCGTAACCATAGATAGTAAGACGGTATGCTATACTGTTAGACCACCGAAGCCGGTATACAATGGTATAGTAAAGGCAATTGAATATGATGGATCAGTGGCAATGAACTGTCGGAAAATCGCTAATTTACTTCCGTGTTGGTTCCATATTGTAATATCTCCATATCATCAATAAAGGTAGTTTTAATAAACTACCTTTATTCACACCATACCTTCGGTAATCCGAAGAGTGGTGACATCTACTGGCACTCTTTGCATGAAATAGCAGCGTATGTTATTCTTTATATAGCAACGTCTGTATTGCAGGAACCATGCGTCTCTGACCAGGAATATGGGACTAAACTTAGTGATTCGCTTGCGCTAACGGTATACGCTGGAGGGGCACTAAAGGGTGGGTGGTAAGATGAGTATGAGGTCAGGTCAATTGAGTTAGGAATTTAACATGATGGTTTCCAGGAGGAATCGCGTGGAGGTCAACCTGATCTGTTAGTAGTTAGTTAGTAACCCCTTCCCTCTACTTAGACGTAATAGAAAGGTCGGTAATGTCTGGAACGACAGAATCCCTATAATATTTTTTTAATTTTGCCGTAAAATCGTTAATGTATTCACATCACCACAATAATTATAAACCACTTCATTAAATACTCATTTCTTACTACTAAGTATCAAAATGTAATTGCCTTAAAGGCTATTAAACAATAAGCTATTGTTTGAAACGTTGACATTTCCGTTAAAATTGTTTGCCAGACATATCGTAAATTAATATGTTATCGAGTGTGTTTTCCTATTTTCAAATTAATAATACATGTGTTATATGTATATTCCTCTCAGTAACAAGTCCATCATCAGACATGAGTTGTGATTTGGACCTTAACTCAAAGACACTAAGTGGCCGAAACACCAACATAACATTTAGTGCCTTGTATTACGGACCTACTTCTAAATGCAGTACAATAGTCTACCAAATGACTGTAGAATGCAACTGGAGCAGAATAGGGTAGCTCTGTCCTAAGCACCGCTTTCCCGAGTAGAAACTAACCCCCTAAAGTAGGTATTAGGGGGTAATCTCTGGAAATAATGCACTGATTTTATGAATCCTTTTTCTAATTAAAAGGTACACTAACTAAGTACCTATGTATAAGATATGCGCAAAAAAAATACACTTAAGACTTTATTTGTTGTGTATTTTTTCTATCTTCACACCAGATAACTTACGTGGTATGCAGCAGATTTGTAATTCGTCTCATGTATATTCCGTAGACTTTTGACTTCAACAGGCAAGTCACGAACAATCAGATAAGAAATAAATTAAACTGGGCCTTCCCGGTAATCAGCCACTTTCGTATTATTGTTATCATTCCCTCTTGCCCAAACCATGTGTAACTTTTAGACGAATAGCAAAATAGTGTAATTTAAATTACTTACCAAAGACTACAGCAACTGAACAAAGTTACAAATGTCGGAGGAATTTCGGTGCGGCCAAAATCGGTACACTATCTGAATTCGGGCTCAATTACGATTATTACATGAGACGATTTAAGGCGCTCTACTAGATTTTGCCAGAGGCAGACTGTAAAAGATCGTCTACTAGGTACCTCAGTCTCATGTATCTCAGCCGCCAGGTAACTTGCTTTGTAAACTGTGTTTCGGCTACAGGGTGTCAATGAGGCATTGGAATTACAGGATAAGGACCATGTCAACTTAGTTCCTAAAACGCCAATACATGAGTGGTATCATGGGTGTCACATAATATAATGTTCACAGTGCTGTTCATGTATGTAAACGATGAGGAGTACTTACCATCAGATGGGCCGTCAGCTTGTTTCCCAATCCATTTACATAAAAAAGGATCGATATTACTCTGATTTTAGTGTCGTGTGCAGGCCGTCAACTTGCTTATACCTGTGCCTTTGGTCACGTGACCAGTTTCTATTGATTGTCCGCGATAAACTAGTTAGTTGTAATTCGTGCAATTCGGTGCTATTTAGCACCAGGAAATATCAAACTAACTAGCATGATATTTTATAGTAATAATAACTAGTGATCTATCCTGGCTTCGCACGCATTACAAATAGTTAAATTGCTTGGATTGCTCCATACTATTAAATAAATGTATTACAGATATAAAGCTTCCTCTGGAATCGCTCTATCTATTGCTGAAACTGTAGATATTAAAATCCGTTGTGTAATTTAAAATATATAAGCGAACAGACACCGCTGGCGACTATGTTTTGTACTATACAAAGAATTATTTTGTTTTTATAATATATAATAATAAATTATTTAATCAGTTCTGAATACTTATTAATATTTCATGAAACAAATCTGCATAAATCGTCATGTATGTACATAATAATTAAAGACGTACGAAACTACTCATGTCGGGCGTGTTCACTAATTTATTCATTATTGTTAGATTATTGGTATACAGTTGATTACTTACTTATTGTTTGTTGACAGTGACTTGTAATAAAAAAACATTGCGATTTTTCACCATATAGATTGGAAAGAGGAAATACTTATCTCTTATTTTAGCCATTTTCTTTATACTGTTATTGAAAGTATGATACGAATCTTAATGGTTTTTGGAGTGAAGACAGACTGCATAACAAGGACCTAGGCTATATTTTATGTAAAAATGTAAACAAACTCTTGGTTGAAAGCTACTAGTGAATAAAGATAACTACGGAATTAAATTTGTTATGTATATTACACAATATTTAATTACAGTAAATCGCAATGTTTCACAGTATGCCATGAGTAGTGTTGCAATTGTACACTCAGCTTTATATGTAGATCTCAACATCGAGAATGTCTAATATAAACGGCCTCGGTAGTATAGAAGTTGAGCACGCCACTTTTATTCCGGTGGTCGCGGGTTCTATTTGTATTCATGAGTATAATTGTTTGGATTGGTCTGGGTTTTTTTCTATGTACGTTATATATGTATTTATAAAAAAAAAATATCTTAGTATTTATATCAGATATCTAATTCCCAAGAAAGAAGAAATTACACACATTAGCTTGGAACCAGATGGCATTGTGTGAATTGTCCAGAAGTATTATTGTTATATCACTTTTGGGAAAACTCGGTCGTTATATGGTAAAGGACCATTTATTTAAGACATATCAATAGCAAAAATAAAGTAAGAACAATTAACAATGTTTTCTCAAGAATTTCATATAGAAGATAAATATAGAATGTAATTTTATACTGATTTACATTCTGAAAAATATACAAATGTGTGTTTATAGGAAAAAATGGGTAGAGAATTAGTATAACAGCCAGGGATAAGCTAAGTATTTAGCTTAGATTTTACTGTTTAATTTATTATTGCCAACAAACGGCTCGTTTTCAATACTTAATATAAGATGCGTTTCGAGTGCAGGTATATAGTATATGTATAATTACAAGACCGTCGCCTTAGGAACGGCAACGATTGAAAGATACCACGACCATCGGAATATATTTTGTGATTTCCGTAGTGCTGTCTATAGGATACGGTTCTAATTTTCTATCAATTGGTCTGTTAGTTGAAAATCCAGTTACAAAAAGAAATTACTTCATCTTCAGGAAAATAATTTCTACATTTAATTGGATTCAAAAATGATGTTATAAGAGTACCTATAATTATGTAGCAAAGTCACGCAAATACTCCTCATAAATTACATTTTCGAATGAATTCGTCATACAATTTTCGTCACATTTGGTCAAGGTTGGCTGCGGTGGATGTTACACAACATAACTATCTTACAACAAAATGTCCTTTGGCAGGTTTTATGTTCGAATCATTGTGATGTGTTATTATAAATTGATATTATAAAAATGACTATAGATGTAAACGCGTGGCTTGATAATTACACTTAGGTCCAAGCCATATAATAACAGAATTCAATCGGATTATTAAAAGAAACTTAAAAACAACAGGTCAGATCTTAATCATATCTTTATGGAACCACATGAGAAGCACTAACTTTCAAATAAAGACAAATCATCAAAATCAAATCATATGAAAAACAGTTTAGAGAGGTAACTCATATAAAAATACAGTCGATTGAAAATAAAAACATACTTGACCAGGCGTTCCAGAACCCTAGTCTAGGTAAAAAAATGATATATAATTGGTATATTGCTATGTCATAAATTAGCTGTAAATAATTACATGGTGTAAGAAACGCTAAATAATATTAGAAGTGCGAAATTGAATGTGTACATATTGTTTTGTTATTGAGTAACAGTAACAGTAAGCGAAAGTCTTAACCAACCGTATCAAATAGATTAACCTATACTTGCTATAATAAATATTTGAGTCATGGATGCTGTGCGCATCTAGTCATATACCTCTATTTCCTGCGACTTTGTCCCTATGTACAAGATATTGTACTCGTTAGTTATATATATGGTGTCGGAGTTTAACAGAAAACCGGATTTATATGTTTGTCAAAAGCAAACTGACTTTTTCAAATAGTAGGAGGTTCTAATTCTTGTGTTTTTTGTTTAGTTAGTATATATACCTCGCAGCTTGTCTATAACTGGCGCAACTTTTAAACTGCTTTGTATATACACATTCTTTATACTGTCATTCCTGATTACCCTACAAATCAACATAAGCATTTCTTGCTCATGCACACATTTCTTTCGTTAAATATCTAGTAATCTCAAGAGCTAGTAACAATATCTAGAATAATCTATATGGTCTTATTATAGAATAGAATGATTTTATATTACTGAGATCAAAGTATTATAAACATATGTATAATACTTGATTATTATGAAGTGACAAACATGTGATTTCTTCTTAGAAATCATATGTTTGTTACTTAAAAATATGAATTTATAAAATTTTGACATCCGAAATTTCTAAGAATACTATGTATTTTGTTGTCAACAGATCACTACCAGCCTTCGAGATGTCGTTTGAAGGTTTCACTGAGGAGGAGTTGGAGAAGATGCCGGACCGCATTGCAGCCGCCTTCACCGACAAGAAAATACTCATCACCGGAGGAACTGGTTTTATGGGAAAAGTTCTGGTGGAGAAGATTCTTAGGTATGTATTGAAAATAGATAATCTCTTAATACTATTTTTTGCTACGGAAAATTATGCTTTTAATTGTCAATTCTAAAGATTTATAATTTGACAGTAAGATAAAACTTACATATAATCAACACAAAGTAAGCCTTTTTCGATAAAATACATCAAACTGTTTCACTATTAGCATAGTGCAGAGAATTTCCCGTAAGCTATATATAAAAAAAAAAACAGTCTAAAAAAAAGAAACTTCTCCAAGTTTCTTTTTTTTAATATTCGTCTACAAAATGTTTCACATAAAACTGTACTGAGCCCATTGAATTCTCGTTAAAGTAGGATACGTTTTACGATAGACTTGTAGAAAGACTTAAATTTACCGAATCGTCAGGAAATGTAATATACTCGTATATGTATACTAGTGGTCGCTCAATGGTTGAAATTCAACCATAATTAGTTTAAATTATAATATTGAACACTATCATGATTCTATTGTCAAAGACTACAACTTCTATGTATGTGTTTGTTTCAAACTCCTCGGTCCGCGAAATTTTCATAAAAAGGGGTAGAAAGGTTTTACTTCACGTATTAATGAAATAATTAAATAATAGTAAATCTATATGTTAACATAAATGTTAGTTAAATAACATCAACTAATGAAATATAGTTGTAAGTATACCCTTATGTGTATATCAAGAGTTACTATACAGTCTAGGTTGTCTTCCAGTATATTCATGTTTTACTCACTCTTTAGTCTTTATATCATACCTCTATTAGTTTGTCACCTTTTTATGTAACCTCAACTCTACAAGTTTCTTGATAATAAATTATATACTATTTGACTCAGCACTGCTGTACAAATCTTGAACTCAGTGCTAAGGGTCAATGTTAAAATAATTTGCAGCATGCGATAATGTGTTTATATTTTTATAGAAAATGTCCAGACGTCGGTGAAATTATTCTCCTGGTGAGAACTAAGAAAGGAAAGAATCCGAAACAACGGCTTGAAGAAATCTTCAGCGGACCGGTAAGTTCTTTGTTTTTTTCGTCTCTCTTTGTTAAATTACTTTATCAATTTGTAAACGGCATGAATAGATTGGCCTAGTTTGCTAGTGGTCTACGAATTTACATTATCCGTGACCTAACTTCCCGCTGTTGTTATTGTTGTTTAAATACAATCCTTCAGTAACCTGTAGGTCTTCATTCACAATCCTCAGTTTTTGTTTTCAATAAATTCATGATTGTTAGACATTCATGAATTTATTGAATGAAATCAAATGTCTTTATAATTTTTGGAATAATGCAATTTATACAATAATATTAAGTGTTTGCAAGAGTTTGTAAAATACCATACAAGTTGCGTCGATATTCATATACAGTAAAGTGTCTAAACCTATCTCCAACTTCAAGGTTTATGGCCAATCGCAATTATTGTCTATGGAAACTTATTTACATCTTTATGGTCTCAATGATAGGGTTCGTAAAGAACGAAGGTACTATAAGTGTGTCAATGTGAATTCGAGAGGATCTCGCAAAAAACTTATTTGCGTAATGATTGAGAAGTACGAGAGAAGGTGCCATCGTAGAGAGTATCTTTAGGTAAACTAGAGATTTAGAGATTTGTTTAAATGGATTATAATGAAATGACAATCCTGGTTATGATAATGATGTAAAACTAGTGAACGATAAATAAATAAAAATGAAATTAGGATCACCTAACCTATTTACTTCACCATGTATTAACCATGTTAGTTTCCAAAAGCAGCCGCAAGGTGGTCGAACTAGTATACTACTAACTATTGTACTAGCAATAGGGCTCATAAACCCCCCTGTAAACAATCCCCACCTTCAGCGACATTGCTTTTGCAGAATCGAACGTAAGCAGCTCCACATATGTTGTATGTCGCAACAAACCGGATTATCACTTCTATTATATTGCTGTGTGAATATCTGTTGAGAAATGTTTCTATACCATTTCATTGACACAACCATCCAACATTATGGAACTTAGGTTTACGATATAAGTTATTGTTCTGCCATAAAAGTATTAAATTCTCCACATCTCAGAACTCCATATTTTACAACTGATTTAAATAAGGAAACTTCTGAATTTTGTTTATTTTTATTTATGCATAGAAGTGTATAGAATGAGAAGTTCAGTAGGAATCTGTGCCAATTATAGAACTAAATATTAATATAAATGTTCAAAATTAATACAATTTTATGACATATTTTTTGTTTGAGTATTGAATTATATATAAATATTGAAAACTGACGTATACCTGGTAAGTGTGAACCGTCGCCTATATACGTGTCCATGAACAGCACTATGTACATCATGCTATCATGTGAAGCCCACGTTATCACTCATGCGTAGCCATTCCGTACATCTGAAATGTCATTCCTGTATACTCCTTGCCCTGTAATTTCTCAAATATTGGCTTACAAAACAAGCTGCTTGGCGGCTTAAATATTAAATAGATGACACAAAAATGACATCAAAATAAAACAAAAAAAAAATTATTTGCTTTTTGTTCACCAACTATTACGTAGGTACAAGACGTACATTTATGAGTCATGACAATACTTTTGTACCTTGTCACAATAACATTCTAGTACCTATGTTATTCAAAAAATATTTTGAATTGTCAATAATATGTTTATGACGAAGTATTTTTTTGTTTACTGTACACGTGTGTGACTTTTTCGGTATTATTTGAATATCATTTCCCTATGTCAATGATTTTATCATTTTCAGTATGTACCAGTGAAAGTGAGGTTAGACAAATTACAATAGGTCAAATTGATTTCAACAAATAAGTGATGTCAATACAACCATCAGCTCGACATTGAAAAGTGTTTTGTTATGTCATTTACTTTTAACAGTACATAATAGGTTGTTATTTCAGTTCATAATTGATGAAAATGATATATTATACATAGATCGGTATCTACACATCCCATATGTATTATTCTGATGCATAAGCTATATTACTGTGAAGTTTTATGAAAATCCGTTCAGTAGTGAAAAGCATTTGCTTGAAAGAATAACAAACATCCATACTTACAAACTTTCGCGTTTATAATGTTAGTAAGATAAGATTAAGATTATCTTATTTGTCGTTTTATAGATCTATTATGAGTTTAAAATTTATCGTGGAATCTTTTGCAGTAGGTACAGTTACACACATTGAGTTACTTATTTAAACTTTTATCTGGTTCATTAAATAATTAATTAGATAATTCAATTTTTTAATTAGTGTTTAATGTATTTAGATTACCCTGGTAGATTGATAAATATCGTCTACTTCAGTGATTCAATATTACTTCTTTCTTGTTACATTACATAAATTAAATAAAGAAATTATAAATAAAATAAAATAAATGAAACGAAACTTTATTAGATACTTGAGGTCAGTATTTATAAAAGTTGAGCAATTTATGATTCAACTGTATATAAGTATTACTTCATTTCACTGCTATGTACCTATGTATATTTTACAATAGTTTGTAATATTTTCCTAATGAAATAGGATTTTTTATTTTTATAATATCTCGTAGGTATATGCCGTAGGCTTAAGTAGATATTTAAACTAATATTATAAAGCGATATTGTAATGAATTAATTCATAAATTAAGTCGCGAGTTCTTGTCACTTTCTACAATCTTCCGTCATTTTTTTTAAATCTTGATATGACATTATTCCAATTTTTTCTTTATTTGCTTTATATAATTGTATCTTGGATTTCCTTCCACCCGTTTCTTCTATTTTCCAACCGAAATGACCAAAAGTCTAACATTACCCAATCTACAATACTGTTGAAAACAGTCTTTATTTTGTCACTTTATTTGTAGTAGAGACTTTTATAGTTGATAAACTAAACTAAAATATATTAAACTGATTTTAGAATTTACACGTTCTTAGTAATAATATAGCCTCTCACCTATATAAAGGGTGTATTACTGAGACAATTAGCCTGTATTTTATTGCAAAAGAAATGGAGATTCTTACAATATATGCATCCGCACGAAGCCAGAGCGAGTCGCTAGTGGATAATTACAGCACGTAATAAGATTGTATCAATTTAACGTACGTCATTATATTCATTTAAATAATGTTGTTTTCCTGTCCGACGTCATACTCTTGTTGTGATAATGACCTGCAATATGAGTATGTAGGCATTTATATGACGTACAATGCTTATGACATATACCTATACTCATTTACATTTACACAATAGAAAAGAAAATATTCAAGTATATCTATTTCTATTGAGGGAAACGAAAATAATAAAATAAAATAAATAAAAAGCTTTTATTGCTATACTAATATTTTTACATATGGTTAATGTCATTATCGATACAGCTTGACGTCCGACATAGGGGTCCTCTAAAGATTTCTATTCTGTCCGGTCCTGAGCGAAATGAAAATATAATATTGTAATTTATATTTCATAGTTTATAGTTTATATATTAACATTTATTTCTTAATTATACTCTTTAAATATACAAAGATAATTAATATTTTTCTGGTAATGGCATAACTTGAGATTGACTTAAACGATCGCATTATTATTTTTTAATTGCTTGCTTGCTTGGTTCTTACGGCACAAAAGTACCCCATTTTTTTATTGTTGCAGTTTAATAGTTACTGCGTATTTTTAGCGTCGAGATCGTCAAGATCGTATTCATGCAATAGTCGAATTCTATCAAGGATGCAATAGTAGAATCTTATTTTCCATATTTCCCATAACGAGCACTTGTTTCTTTTCTTGCCCTAAACCACTTGCATATATGTTATTTTTAATCCTTTATGGTATAACGTAACTGTATATTATGAAATTACATAAACTTCTTAATGCTGGAATCTCTTGGCCTGCTAATAATACTCTATGAACTTGATTCCCGTTGATACGAGAATCGTATTACTTGTCGCCGTTGTTTGTGGAATAAAATTTAAAATAATTTAATTAAGTATTATCTATATATTTCTATTTATTAAATATATATGCGTGTACTTTATTATTATACAGGCGACTCGCTTCATATGAATATTTCAATAAACTTACACAAATATTTTTTATGTTATATGTACTCTGTTGATGGAAAATCGCATCCATTCTGAAGTTTTTGTTATTATTGCGAACATACACAGACGTGTCAGAATTTGTCGTGACTGACCGATTAATCTCAAGGTCTCTAATAGGCTCCAGATAGAGCTCTAGATCTCTAGAAAATTTGAATATCAAAATCTGCTACCTCCTTTCATGTACAAAGTTATTTTAATTTGGGCTACTGAAAATGGAAAATGGAATAATATTTACTCGTACGAGTAGTAAGTTGCAGTAATACCTAAAATACGTCAAATTAGACGAGTCTTTCCACCAATGGGCTTGGTGAAATATTTCTTAGCTTTGCGTAACATTCGTAGTGGCTGGTTGTGACAGCATTTCGCCATAATGGCAAACATCCTACTCAGTAGTGCATGAAGTGGTACATGGTTAGGTTGGCACAGGCAAATAGAAATTAGATCATTGTTAAATTAATAATTACCTACCTGCAATTATAGATAGTCAAATTAATGAAGCCTGGCTGTGTAAATCACACGATTCATACTTAATGTAGGTATCTATTGTGAAAAAATCTGAAATAATTATATATTTAACTTTCATATAAATAGGACATTTGTTGTTCATATTTGTTTTTCACTCAAACTCTATTTCTTCGAGTTCAAATATATATTATTTTTAATATATTTCAAGTATAATTCAATTTTATAAAGTAATACTCTATAGTAATGTTATATAGATGAAAGATTAGATTTTCTGTATGTTTGTTTAATTGTATCTAATTCTTTTCTTAGTGAGATAAAGTAAGAGAAACTTGATATACATATTTTTTAAAAATTCATTAATAATAAACATTTCTAATAGTGTGTAAAATGTTTATTATTAATGAATTTTTTACCATTCTAGAATAGAATAGAATAGAAAATAATTTATTAAAATAAACTTAATTTAAGCATTTTTAATACTGCTTCTTCTGAAAGTTGTTTCATCACAAGAAGCAAGAAAGTGTTATGCTCTTTTAAACAATCCTTATAAGTTCACATTTTACAAGTCGAAACGTGTGATTACTAACTACCAACCAGCACTAATTTATTTAGGCTCAAATATAAAAATACAATAAGATTAAATTAGTCGTAGTGATAAGAGCAGACCAGTCCCTATAAGCAGCACTCGTTCACGAGTATGACGAATGAGCCAGGCATCAATGCGCCCGACCATATTTTAGGGAGCCCAATGATTTGACCCACCACACGGCTTGTACATGTTTACACAAAGATTATTGTCATATCGACATCTATGATAATTTCGATGGATATATCTTTCAAACAGTTGCTTAAGTGATGTGTAAATTTCTTAAAGTACTTCTATGTGGGCACTTATGTTAGATAATTTACAATGTTTGTCGAAACTTGCAATGTGTGTGTCGGTAATTATTTATGTATGTTGTGGCTACAAAGTGGTTGCTCAACAGAATGATAGTGTAAAGAATTATAAAAAAAAATTAGAGGATATTGTGTCATTATTTTTTGTATATCATTGATATTTTAATTTACTTTTGCTATATTGTATATATATAGTCATACTAGTATGTAGTACATAAAATTTGGTTGACATAAAAATTACTTTGTGTGTTAATTTATATTTCTAACTTACTCTAAACCTCAATGAGAGAGATGCCGCCGGGGGGCGGTAGGCTCAACATCTCACGGTGGATTTAAATATACTCTAGTATACATTATACAAACGGAATATTTGACATTATAATAAAATGTGGTCCCGGTCATTTCGTCGAAATATTGGGAAACGTTTGAAAAATATTATATATTGAAAAATATCAGATGTCCTGGTGGATGAATGGACTAAAAAATCAATATTGAAATATTACTCAGCAAAATATTATAGTAACTCGTCCCGGCTTCTCCCAAGCGAAGCCGGGGTATTACAATTATATTATATCTCGGTTTTTCTGTGTTATAATATGCATGTGTTATACATATAAACATCTTCTTGATTTACTCTACGCGGAAAACTGCATTAAAGTCCGTTACGTAATTTAAAAGATCTAAACGTCATCATTATTACAAGTTACGTATGTTTCTTATTTATACTTTTTCAGCTATTTGAGCAAGTTCGCAACTTGCGGGGTGGTTTAGACCCACTCTTGGCGAAAGTATCCATTGTAGCTGGTGACTGTATGGAGAAGAAACTGGCCATGAGCGACGAAGACCAACAGAGAGTAATCGACGAAGTGCACTATATCATACATGCTGCAGCGACTATAAGGTAAATAATCAGAGTTTCAAGTTAGAGTCAGGCCATTTTTAAGTTTGATTTGCAGAGTTTGAGGCGTCCCATAGCCTTACTGAATACGAGTGGCCTCAACTTGTGGATCCATTGATTGTATTTGAAAGTAAAGGTAGAGATAATGGTAAAAAAATGGACGTGCATAAGAAGGCCGAAAGGTCCTATATGAATAAATATTTTATTTTACTTGAAAATATGAATGAGGGCAAGAGTTGAATATAAGGACAGAAGTCAATGATGTTCGGTCTCTCTAAGTACCTGTACCTGTATTTGGTGTAATTTGTTTAATTGACAAAACTGCATTTTATTTTTCAGATTTGACGAAGAACTTAAGAAAGCAGTTATTTTGAATGTTAGAGGCGTGAGAGAAATACTCGCGTTGGCTAAACAATGCAAGAAATTACAGGTAATTTTGTACAATATAATAATCTAACTTTTTTCGGATTTAAGACAGCAGATGTCTGTCGTAATAGTTATCTCTTCAGCTATTTAAAATGGTAACAAACAAGAAGACTGGCAGACACACTTTTGCACGTATAATATTAGTATCGATTTCAAATAGTTTCATTATACTGCACAATAAAATTCAGCACCTTAGACGATATTTCATGGTGGTGGTTAGTTAGTTACATAATGTCTTTTACAATATTCTTATAAATTAAATTTATTGTCTTTCCACAGATCTTCGTGCACATATCAACAGCTTATTGTCACTTACATGAGAAATTGTTAGAAGAAAAAGCGTACCCTCCGCCGGCTGATCCACATCAGATCATAGAAGCCATAGAATGGATGGATGATGAAACCATAGCTACTCTTACACCAAGGTTTGTTGGAATTAAATACAAAATGTTTTGTTTTTCTCGTCAATACGATGTTTTTTTATGGATGAATATGAAATAATGCGCGGACGTATCACACTTTGGCGGGAAAGATAATAGGATGAGGATGAAGTCTGATAGTCTATTCAGTTAGTCCATCCTGGTAAATTCACAAACTACTAACCACTTAATAAGGTATATTGTTAGGATATTAGCCTTCATTACTAACAATACTTTTCAGGCATGTGAAGCAGAATTATCTTCGTACGACTGTTTTTCTGGACTGATATAATCTCGACTTTTTTATGGTGTAACTTCTATTGCATCTCTCACCTAACTTCATTGACATTATCATCCCCATTCAAATGATATTAGAAGGCTCTTTAATAGTAATATTAGAGGCTATGGATGCACAATACCTCACTCTTCGAGGAATAATTATGCATTTGCTCACAATGTATTCTGTAATGATTGTGGTGCTGTTCTTGTTGACATTTTCGTGTTTCAGTATACTGTTTTATAAGATTTTATATTATAAAACAGTATACTGATCGTTTACAATATTTTAGTATACAGTAAAAACTTAGATGAAGGACATTCTTAAAGAAGTTAATATTTAAGAAGGAAAAGCCATAACCCATTAGAGGTTTCGTCCAATTTACCTTTGAATGCCTGGCAGGAATTGTGGTATATATTTATTCAATTATTTTTCAGATTACTGCATAACTTCCCCAATTCATATGCTTTCACAAAGGCCCTCGGTGAGGCCTTGGTTGTAGAAACAATACAAGATGGTTCAGTACCAGCTGCCGTCCTTAGACCATCTATTGGTAAGTCAATAAAAAAATATTACGTATCTCATTATTTTAAATCTTAAAAAAAAAACATACAGTTTCTGTACAAAAATGCTACAAAATGGGTAGCCAGAAACGGTCGATAAGTTATCAGTAGTTTCAATATAATTAAAATTTCTATGGGTATAGAATATATATATATATATATATATATATATATATATATATATATATATGTGACATAAAAATAAAACTAAAGAGAACAGGGCGTAAGCAAACAATTATTGCAATCTGCAAAATAATTATTAATAGATTATATGGATAATGAGATTTGAGATAAATTTATTAAATATTTTGTTGCATTTGATTATTATTTGTTAACTTAAAATCTAGACTCTACAATTTCTTGATTTCTTTTAATATAAGTAGTAATATCATTTTTTCTATATTTTCTGAACTGTGTCTGCTTTATATGTTTTGGTAAAATTGTAAGAAATAACCAAACTGTTTTCATTTTTAGTGATCCCCATCTGGCAGGAACCTATTCCAGGATGGACGGATAATATAAATGGACCTACAGGTTTATTAATAGGTAAGTCCGACTACAGCTTCATAGCTTTGTAATCTGATAGGTAAAATGTCATATTATTTTATTAATTACATATAAATAATAATAAAAATATCTACGGAATATATTGTAATTTATATGACAAAGTGGTAGTTTTCAGGAGCACGGCAAATATATTATTTCAATTAGGTAAAATATTTTTCAACGACAGTTTATAAATAACAGAGTTTTAAGGTAATAAATAAAAAAATATGAAAATCCGTTCATGAAGTCGGAAATAAGTGTAGTTAGATGTAAATAAACAGTTTTATTATTGTAGCTTTATATGGACAATACATTTTTATCCGACTAGAGTTTTTATATTATTTTCATATGTTTTAAATCACAGGAGCAGGCAAAGGTGTAATCAGAACTATGTACTGCAAGAGTAATAGTTACGCTGATTTTCTACCAGTGGATGTTTTTATCAATGGAATTATGATTGGTATTTGGCATTATGTCATGATAGGGTAAGTAAATCTATTTAAATTATTATTTTGAGTGTTGACTATTACAAAGCGCCTTGTGTGGGTAGCTAACTCAATTGCAGCAGTCTATTTCAGCTGCTAAGCAGCTTGCTTTATAAGCTATATTTTAGTATGAACATAGCAGTAAGTTTACAGAACATATAGGCATGCTATCTTAGTTCTCAAAATAAGAATGCGTGAGAGTGACCACGTAATAGACAGTATATAGGTACATCTACTTGAACTAATATTTTGGACTATTCTAATGCTGTTGGCCGCAGCTAGCTTTTACAACTTCACCGGACTTTACATATCTTATCGGACAATTATTTTTAAATTATATAAATATTCTGTTTTCAGAGACAAGGAAAAAAATATAGTAAACTTTACGTCATCAGCAGAGGTCAAAGTCACATGGAATGAAATGATCGAAGCCGGCCGAGAAATCATTACAAATAGAGTACCTTTGAACGGCGTGGCGTGGTAAGCGTTAATAATATTTGCTACAAAGTATTACTATCCTAATATATACATATATCCGAGATCTTTAGTTTGTATGTGGTTGAAGAACTTTTGTGTCAAATTATATTTCTGACTGACTTTCCGTTGAACGCCGATAATCACTCCAAAAATAAATTGTTGAAATGCCACATTCGACTCAAAACACTCTGAGCGAAATATGAGCATGTGAATAGTTCTTCTAATTATTAATTATTGCCTAGACTATCCCATCTGAAGAACAGTAATGATGGTATTTTTCAGGTATCCGGGTGGTTCTATGAAACATTCTCGTCTCCAGCATAACATCTGCGCATTTTTTTTCCATTGGGTTCCGGCTGTGATCGTTGATACTTTACTATTCTGTTTGGGGTACAAGCCTGTGTAAGTACTTTTTCAATAAAGGTCTCCTATCTATCTAGTACAATTGTAAATTTATACGACACTAGCAGCTGCCTGCGACTTTATCTGCGTAAACTCCCTATTTCACTCAATACAAGATATTTTCTAAATAATACCAAATACCAAATTTTATTTAGATCCTTTGAAAAGGTAATAGACAGTCAGACTTTATATAGACACTCTCTGTTGTCTGTCTGTTAAAATTAACAGACACCCAATTATTATTTAAAACTTCGTGCAACTCCAAATATTAGAATATGTTATTAACTTAAATAAACGACACCTTAACCCAAGTGATTTAAATCACCTAAACAATTATATTTATAGTCTGTGGCGTGTCCATCAACGTATCAGTAAAGGGTTCGAAGTCTTCGAATACTACACCAACAACCAATGGGACTTTAAATCGGATATTGCTCAAACCGAACGGCGCAAATTGAATCCACGAGAGAGGCGTGACTATAAAGTTGACTCTGTTGGTAAGTTGTAACTGGAGAATGTACATACTTAAAATAGATCTAAACCGTCGGCAGGAATGCCCGATTGGAGGGTTCTCTCCCAAATTTGAGGAAGTTTTGTTGCGTTGGGGGAAATTTGAAGAATAAATTTGTATTTTGAGGGTTGTGGGGCGATTTGGCAGTTTATGTAGAACTAGAACAACCAAACCTTCAGCTGGGTAAAACGCACAAGAATGTTGTCATTAAAAAAGAATGTCATTAATTTCGCAGTCCAAATAGAAGTATATATTAAAAAAAAAGTACCAGCCACCATAAAAAGGTAGTCAGGACATAGATGAAAAAATCCCCAATACTTCTTGGGGGATTTTTTCTTTAAAACCTACATTTCGAAGTGAATTTTGACAAAATTTCGAGAGGATGTTAGACTACAAATGACTGCATGATATTTCCTTCCAATTGTGACATGTGTCATATATTTCCGCTCCACCCAGTAGCATGCTCCATGCGCTTCCGTTAAATGGTAAAATATTATGGCAGTGAAAATACTGGATGTAACTTCTAGAATCTTGGAATACCAACACATAGGTTGTATTACGTCTTTCACATGATGACGTTATGTGTGTGGTACTGTTGCCAGATGGTTACCACTGTCAACTTGTTTACCATTCTATCACGATTTGAGGATCCTGTATGTAGATCCTGTCGGAATGCAAAAATATTTCTCAAAAAGACTTATATCTTTTATTACTTACGATGGTAGATTAAAATAACATTCAAATTGCTTGACATGACCATTATTTTAATAAAAATTACAAGGGTTTAGAATTCGCATTACGTATTATATTTGGTGTTGTTTGTAAATATAAAGACGATTATCATTTTTGTAACTTTGCAATATTCGAGTTCAAATCAAATAAAATTAAAACGTCTATTACAGTTCCTTATAGTATCAAATCTACCATCAGTTCGTAGTACTTACGACCTTACGAAAAATTTACAAGAAACTCAGTTCTTAGTCTTTTCAAATATGATTGTACATGTTTACAAACATACAGCTACATTTTAATTTCAAATTAGGGAGAATAGTGTGACTACCAGCACATGCCATGTAATTTTATCAAAATTAATAAAATACATATGTATTTTGAGTGTAGTTCGTGACTCCAAAGGTGACGATTGTCATTTTGGATGTCATTTTGGACATGGACCATTAGTATGTTTGCTAATTTGTTTTAATTACCAGGTCTCGACATCACCAAATATTTTGAAGACTGCATCAGAGCTGCTCGGATTTATATACTAAAGGAGTATGATGACACTCTACCTGCAGCCAGAAGACATATGACGGTGTAAGTATTGTCTGCAGTATGTAATTGTAAAAAATGTATTTAGGTATGGGACTAGAGATATGGAAAAATTGTAGATGTGTTATAGCATTGAAGTTTTTTTTTTATTCTATGTAAGTGGTCGAAATGCAAGACCAAGTAGTGACCGAAAACGAAACAAGAACACTCTCAGTCCTCAACAAGCCAGGCCAAGGCCTAAAACATTGATTAGTGAACAAAATAATATTATTAAATCAAGCATAATATTTTATTTAATAGATTCGATTATGCTAACAACAATAATTGACTGTATATATATATGGAATCCCTATTTGCAATAGATTCTATGTGTCACCTTTCAAAAATATATATTTATTCTATTGTACCTTTTCAGGATGTGGTGGGTGGATGTTATAGTCCAGTTTCTCTTCTGGGGTATGATCCTGTATTGGATAAGCGGATGGTTCGGATTTAATTCTCAAGTAGCAACATCACCAGAGGAGCTTCCGAGCGTTTTGGCTGCTTAAACGCCATTTGTAAATATACTATAAATAATTGATAATAAATAATATGATGTACAGAATGAAATGAACCAGTAATCTGTGATATCCTGGAGATGGCAACATTTTATGGTGGCTATGATGACTCCTTATATTTTTTTTCATAAAAACCAAATTCCACAAACAATTTAACTGTTTGAGGGTTGAACTTATTCTCAATTAAATAAATAGCACAATAGAAAAGAATAAAAAAGTTAAAGTTAAAAGTTAGTTTAGTATATATAACATTTTACGTTGTTATAAATAGTTATTTGAGGAGATCACTATTACGATTTTTTTTAATAATCAAATTTGTATTTCCTCTGTTATTTATACACCTTTTAATTATTTGTTGTATCATAATTCCGACATTTTTTAAAATAAAAATACAAAATTGAAACAGTATATACTTTCAGATAAATTTTTTTTTGAGGGTTGGGTGGTTTTTTACGGAATATTACTACGGAATATTATAATGTACGATTGAATTGAATTTAACATGACAAATAAAGAAAGCTAACCTTCCGCGCCGTCTCTTTGGTTTACTGGATTGGGTCGGTTTGCTATCAGTAACATTAGCCATATAGTCAGTCAGAAATATAAATTTAAATTGACGTACAATATTTTTGTCGGCCAGATTCGAATCCGAAAACTTTTGGGTCTAAATCTGGTAAATTAAACATATTTGTGTGTAATTTAATCTGATTAAGCTTGCTCCTATTTGATGAAATAATATGTAATTGATATTTTATAAAAAGATCCTAGTCGCTACCAGCAAGTTGACTAATGATTTCTCCCCTTATTCATAACAACAAAAACCTCCTATAAACCTATTTAAACAGTGTTTTGTCACAATATATCAACTTAAGAAAATAATTGGTAAAAACGATTCAATTATAATTAAAACAGGTTTATGAGACGTTTGGCATTTTTATGAATATTGTGGTTTATCGTTACTCCATCCAATTTTTTTTTTGCTTAGGTGAAGGTATCCTTTTTATTATTTTTTATAAATATTATATGTCAAATAGATATGAATTGGGAAAATTAGGCGTCAAAAACCAACTTAGAAAATTCTTAGTTTGAGATATTAATAAAGTAATGTTTTGATGTACTTAGCAATAATGGTATTGAAGGTTGATAGCAAGCATATTGTAGATAGATCTGTAAAAAATATAAAATAAGGTTCTAAGATGTAAATTGAGTGATCGATTGACAGGTTTCTAAAACCAAACCTAGCTTTAAATTACGATGATAAAATAAAAAGAATGGGTCTAGATGAAATTAAAATAATTAAGGTGTTTTTTATTATGATTGTATTCAGTCATTTGCTGATCGATTTTATTAATTGTAATACGGTATAACATTGTAAGATTAGTGCATGCAATCTAAAGAGATGCTATGAGTTCAATGTATGAAATAAATGTCATTTTATATTCACGAATAAACTAATGAAAATAAAATGTTTTATATATTTTTTTTCTGTCATATCAACCTATTACAGATCATAATCATTATTTACATGTATTTTTATTCATTAGCATACGAATGCCAATAAAATATCTAATACGGTTCCTTAATCCCTTTTATTCTTATAGACTACATTTAAATAATGTACATAATATAAAACAAAACACAAGAGATAAAAAATAGTATCAGAAACAATTCCAAAATTAAATTCTGTTAAAATTCTAATTATGAAGTATAACAAGCGACAATATATAATACCTATACGACAGGACAGGCAGAAGTTACGGAGTGATTGTGATGATCGCCAGCCGCCGACCACACAGATTATACAGCCGGAAAGTTCAACCGAGTCCGATTGAAAACGTTTGGGTGACATTTTATTAAATTTATCGACAGGAAATAAATATCATAGCATAGTTTACCTTTCAGCGGTAGGGCTTCTGAGTGGATTGCCTTTAAACGTACCTACAATGATACTAACCATAATTATTCTTCAAAAGAAAATATTACTCGTCTACGCTACATGTTACGTGGTGTGACGACCCAGAAGAGATTATGTTAGCTTTAGACGAACGGTTTGCCACTCCTGAGACTATAGTTATGGAAGAGTTGTCTATTATTCGCTCACTACCTAGGTTACAGACAAATTTAAAAGATTTAAATTCATTTTCTTGTACTATACAAAATATATTTTTATTTTATTTATTTATTCTTTATTGCACTTTTAAAAATTGTACAATTTGGCGAGCTTAATGCCATATGGCATTCTCTACCAGCTAACCATTAGGTAAGAACAGAAAGCGGTTGATGGGCAGTGGTGGGAAAGGACTAACCTATAATTTTACCTAATATAGGTAAATAGGTTTTCTTAAAAATAATTACAAATATACATACATAAATATAAATATATACCTACTATAATACATAATAATGATACACCAATAAAATTTTATACACCAATAAAATTAAAAAAAAAAAAGAGAAATTTACATATATATTATGACAACAATAGATAATTAAGAACCGTTTTGTTCATTCAAGAGATAATCAAAAATTTTCTGTTTGAAAACAGGCTTACTCTGTGCTTTGCGCAGGGCTACAGGCAATCTATTCCAAAGACTAATAGCAGTGACAGTGAATGAATTAGACATAAATCCAGAATGGTGTGAAGGAGTTGAGAGAAGAAGGGTGTGGACCGAACGAAGATTAAGAGAATGGGAGTCACTAATGAACTGGAATTTGTCTTTCAAATATAAGGGAGAGGAAGTGTCATAGATGATAGTAAAGAGAGAACATAGGATGCGCAAGTTTCTGCGGTTACGAATATTTAACCATTTTAATTGGGATCGAAATTTAGATACGTGGTCATATTTACGTAGTCCAAAGATGAACCGGATACAGTTATTAAGTAAACGATCTAACTTATTCAACTGTTCTTGGGTAAGATTGGTAAGACACACGTCGGCATAGTCAATATGCGGAAGTATTAGAGATTGAACGAGAAGTAATTTAGTAGAAGACGGAAGAAAAAATTTAAAACGATAAAGAGCGCGTAGAATGCCTGTAACCCTGCGACAAATCTCAGCCATTTGAAAATGCCAACTAAGTGACGGGTCAATTAACAGTCCCAAATCCCTAACATTAGAACAGAACGGAATAATGCTGTTCTCACACTGCACATGCAAATTTGTCGTATTCATTTTAGCAAGAAGTCTTGAGCTGCCTATTATAATAGCCTGACATTTTTTTGGATTAACTGAAATACCATAGCGACGTGACCACTTCGATATGCTCTCAAGATCCCTATTGAGTTTATCCATAGCAGTAGAAATTTCATTTGGTTCAGTCTGAGCATAAAGCTGTAGGTCGTCCGCGTAAAGATGGTAAGAGCATTGAAGGTGAGGTGTAATGAGATTGATAAAGAGAGAAAATAGAAGTGGTGAAAGAATACCGCCTTGCGGAACACCAGTGTTTAGATCACTCCAGCCAGAGAGATCTTGCCCAGCACGAATTGCTTGTTGGCGTCCGCGAAGATATGAAGAGAACCACTCCAGTACCGACGGAGAGAAATTAAGACGAGAGAGCAATGCTAGGAGTAAGTCATGGTCAACACAGTTGAAGGCATTAGAGAAATCGATTAATACTAAGATGGTGAGGTGGGATTTCTCCATACTGTTACGAAGGTCTTCGGTTACTTTGAGTAACGCTGTAGTGGTACTGTGTCCTGGGCGAAACCCAGACTGAAGAGGGCTAATAAAGTTACAATTTGAAATGAAGATGGATACTTGTTGAAAAATAATATGCTCAAGAACTTTTGACAGGAATGGCAAGATTGAGATTGGTCTAAAGTGACTAGGAAGTGAAGGATTAGCTATCTTGGCAAGGGGAATTACAAATGCTTTTCTCCACAGTTCAGGAAAACAGCCATTAGTCAAAGAGAAATTGACTATGTGAGTAAGAACTGGGAGAATTATGTCTAACAAGAGAGTGATCATAGTTCTACTCACTTCGTCATGGCCTGTAGCGTTAGATCTAATAGACATAATTGTATTACTACTATACACACACACTATTATACACACAGACATAATATAATACATTTTGTACAATTAAACATCTTAAACAAGATCATTATCTTTATTCAACAGAAATTTACAATGCTATTTTATTTAAATTGACACCATTCTTGCGTTACATTTGGCCAGGTTATGCAGCATCACATCAATTCCAGGGTACAAAGTTAGAAATATTATCTAATTTCCTTTCCTAGGAAGCCAGTAATCATAGAAAATTCGTAATATTCAGTAGATATGTAGCAGTAAATACAATTTATTCTTGATTTCATCAAAATTGCACGTAAGACGTACCTAACTGTTACTTAGCAACAACTATAATAATTTTAAATGTGATGGATTATCTTAAAAATCAATTTATAATTAATAACAAGCGTTACGAAGTTCGCAGGGTCAGGTAATAATATAAATAAAATACAGTTTGTCTACAAATATATTATTTACTTGTTATGCCTTTATTAAAATTGGTGGTCTATTTTATATGTTGTTGATAGAATTTACAGTACAATTGTGAAAAAAAAAACAAATTATCTACCTTATAAGTAATAATTGCACTTTATACAAATATTAAAAGGTTGTAGTAATGCATTTGCATACTTTATTTACTATGATCATTTTTAGTGTTAGATATACATGTAAACCTATCAAAGAATATATTATCACCTATTTTAAAACAGCCCCTAAACAATAACAGAATAAAAGTATTTGTCAATAATTTCAGTTTTCAAAAGTGTGAGAGTATACAAGATTATTTACAAATTTCTTACCTGCCGGAAAAAAATTAATACGAATGAAGAATATGTGTTGGTTTTACCTTAATATGATATACTGGGCGGTGGGTACGATATTCTATGAATTTATATATGTATAATATTTAAATATTCAACATATTTCACATAAAGTTTTGGACAACTGAATACAGGAAAACCAGAAGTACTGTTATTAAAAAAAATAAGTAGTGCCATTTTATCACTATGTAGCGCCACTTATGTATATCTACCTATATTACTTACTAACCTATTTTATTATTAATATCTTATGTATTATATTAACAATCTCTAACCGAAGAATCGATCGTCAATTCAAAATCAAGCAGTTATCTTCTAATACTCTGAGCAGGGGCGGATCTACCTATGGGCTTTTTGGGCTGCAGCCCAGGGCCCCGAGGATACAAAGGGCCCCCAGTCCCCATTGAAACGATAATTAGAATATAAAAAAGTATCTAGAATTTTTAAAAACCTATAAGGTTTGCAACCCTGAGATCAATCAACCCATGCAACTGCGCGTCTATAAAAAGGAATGGGTAATTTGTTTTTGGTCGGTGTATTTTTTTAGTTGAGTAATGTAATTAGGTAGGCCCTAGGCCCCTTAGTAGATTTAGCCCAGGGCCCCACAAATTCACGATCCGCCCCTGACTCTATTATATTGAGTATATTATTTATAACTTTCATAAACCCATTACATAATATATTTGTAAAATGTATGTTTATTAATATAAGTACGTTGGTACTTTGATATTATTGGGAACTGGCTATATATACTTCGGCACGGTTTATAATAATACCTATACCTGTAATTCTAATAAGCTGTTATTTCTCGTTTTTGAAAAAACGTACATTTATATAATTACAAGCAGGTAGGTATTTAAATTTATGAAACCCTATTTTTACAAAGTTTACGATTTTATTACGTTATGGTACAATATAAAGTATACGGTATATATCTATATTATACCTACATGTATAGATTACACTGCACCATTAAAAATAAATATACATAAATTAAATATGTATATTTTGAAAAAAGTTTTAGACATCTTTAAAGCATAAGTTTAAAGTTAAGTTATTTTTTAAAACTTGTTCATTTGATTTTTAGCGTAGGCTGTTGCATGTCGCTGACAAAATGAGAGAGTGTAAAGAGGATGTTCAATTTTGGTACATTTTCTTCGTATTATTTTATCGTTTACATTAATCATAATTAAGGCACTGTGGACTGAGCTTATGCAAATTCATTCCTTGACATTTAATTAAGGTACTAAAGTTATGATACAGCTAATTTCCTACTGTTAATAATTCTTTACAGTACTTAAATGGATCTAAATATTAACTGTACAGCTCTCTACCGTAAACGTCCTGCCAGCATTTTGAAAATGTAGTAACCGGTGGCAACTTGGAATAATCGATGTACCCAGTATAATCTGAAATTGAAGATAATTATTAATTACAAGTATAGTTCATATAAAAGTTAAATTTAATAAGAAATTCATAGTACATTATAATATATAATTCCAATTGTATATTATAATGTAAATGAGATAAGCTGCTTTACGAATGTTCTAGTTTAGAACAATGAAGAGGAATTCGACGTAAGTTGGGCGAAGTGTCTATACTACGTGCCATCGAGTGTCGACGCTACTATAATTTTCATTTAAGATTTTTAATGGTTCGTCAATAAAGACGAACCATGAAGTATGGTTTTCTTACCCTCGTTTCAGTAAAACGATATACACAATATCCATGTACCTGCCTAAGTGGAAAAATGTACCCGGCAAAAAAAGTTGCGGCAAATTTTAAATGATATAAATATCATTGTATCAGACATCTTTTTAAATGCCAATAAATATATAATTAAATTTATATTAATGAAGTTTTTATTGAATTACAAACTTTTAGGTGTACTGATAAATTTTATCAGGCATTAATGTAAATATATAACCTTTATCAATATACCTTTTCAATTTAGTCCTAGCATTTGGTAAGGATTCAGGGGTGTCCTTTAATATAAATCTCCTGATTCCCAACATATATGCGCCTATGTAGGTCTCCCAGTTGAACTGCACCGGCCAGTGGGGGAAGGTAGCGTGGTCCACAGCGCCCTGTGCATCGTTGTTCAGAGTCAACAGTTCAGAAATACCGAACTGCCATTCGTGATTCGCAAAGTATTCCCCAGTAGCGGCGGCCATTTTGAAACGTCGAGCGAGTTTCATCATTCTTTGAAAAAATAACCAAATATAATTTTATTTCATATTAATTTTCATGAGTACAGCCAAAAACATACTTTTTAAATCGGATTATAAAGAATTACAGCATTTTTCGCGTCATTTCACAAACTTATTTAAATAAAAAAAAAGTTAAAATTAAAACAAAACATTACATATAGTCGGAAACTTTTAATATTTAATTGTAATGTTATTAAAATTGTTTAAATTGTAGTTCAAAGAGATTTCAAGTATAATAGTTTATTTGCAAGTTTTAAATAAATAAAATATATATTTGTTATATTTCTAGTGGACTATAAGGTAGGATAAATTTCATATTCAATTTAAAAAAAGAGAGAGTCTTATGATGCACAAGTGATACTCACATTGCTTTTCTTCCCTGTGCTCTCAGTACGATATCATAGAGGAATGCAGGCAAAAAATGACAAGATACCTCCCAAAAAGTATTCATGAAACGGGACTCCGTAAACGAAAAGTTGGGATACCACATCACATATCTGAAAGAAACATTGTTTACAATCCTGACTGACAGATCTATCAACGCATAGCTTACAGTTTCCAATTTCTACATAGGGTAAAATGAAGGGGAATGAGGTTAAATAATAGGCGTCCAGTAGTATCTCCTCCCTCTCCTCCCTATCTCCTTTGGAAATCCTAGCGAATTTACCACACTGATGACTCGACATGCTCATTTTTCATTCTCCTGTGCTGCTCCGCCTAATATCGTTAGCGTAGGCGGAAGCAACATTCGGTTTTCAACAATTAATAAAAAACTTTAATGTATATTGTCATATTCATAATAAAGTTTGTCATATAAAAAAATAAATAAGGACACAAGAGCTTGCAAGATTCCTGATGATATTTTATTACCATGCAAAATATTTGATTACCACCGCCCATAGGCAACAACAGGATTGTTTAATAGTTTTCGGCATTTTAAGGAGGATTATGTTTTCTTGAACGCTTTGATCATAACGCTTAGGAATTTATTCTATAATATGGTATGGCATGCACATGCCAAAATCTTTCTGGTCAAATATGATATTATTAGTTAAGGAGGATAATGATTGTGTACTTACTTGGTCGGGTTCTCTCTTGCCCATTTAATACAGAGACGTGTGAATTGTCCCCATTGTAGGGGATTGATCGATCCTGATGTTACGTTGTAGACTGGACATCTTCCCGGCCTGTAAATTTGAGGACATGTAACTATCGATAAACATAATTTAAGAGAGCTACAATAACCTATTTTAATTATAAAAATATTATTTTTAGACATTCTTATTTTTTTTATGGAATAGGAATAATAGCGTCTGTAATACCCATTTCAGAGAGAGGGGATGCCTCTCTCTGACGCAGACGACTTTTTACAAAGTCTATCTTTGCATATTACATTTAAACTATTGTAAACTTACTGTTTTGCTCCCTGTCTCCATGCCGCCAATATACAGCTATTTACCACGAGATCAACTGGCACCAAATCCACAATGTACCGCTCCCTACAATATCCTGAGCGGTAGGTTCCACGCGATATCTCCATGATTATACCTGATGATTGTAATAAAATTTAGGTATGTATCGCCCTTTAGTACCTACAAATTGATACAAGAGAAATAGAAATATTTTTTATTCGAATAAACTCTTCTACCACACAATGCTCATGTTTGAATGTTTAAATAAAGATGCAACATAAAACTTGTTCAATATCTATTATATAAAAATTCAGAAATGTTATTATAAACTGAAATATGAAATGTATGGTATTTCATATTTCAGTTTATAATAAACTATTTTAATATATACCTATATTTTAAGACATAGTTAATCTAAATGCAGTTAGCTATATATATAAACAATATTAAAATCGAATATACTTTGTTTATCTTTTAAGATTTTATACCTATTTGAATTTTATGTAGTTTTAATGACATGGTACTTACCAGTTACACCGTAGATATTGTCGATCCATCCGGGAAACGGTTCCTGATATGCTGCAGTCACTGTAATAAACAGTTTATTTTAAAGTTTGTCTATTTTTATTATTATTGTGAATAAACAATAATAAAAATAGAAAAATGTAATGACATATCTTAATAATTATTGCTAAAAATAACGTGTCAATTCGTGCCCAATTTTCATTCACAATTTTAAACAATAATTTGTTAATTAAATCAGAGTAAGAATAATTTAAAAACTACAGTTTTTATAGTTGTTTTCGTAGTTATAGAAGAAACTGATTGTCATTGTAAATAGATTTCTAATACATTGAAAACGTAAATGTGCCATGAAAACGTAATAAAATTGATTCAATATTGCGATCAAACTCAAGAGTAAGTTAATTACATTATAAAAAGATTTAGTCCAAGGTCTCATTAAGACCTTTTCCATCAGGTGGGTCATCACTTTATTTACTATTCTAGTTACATAAAACATATAACTATATTCAGTCAGGATAGAACCCCAAATGCTGCGTAAGTTTTTTGAATGAAGTACCTAGTTAGTTTTCTCATGTTATGTCTGGTGTCCTTGTGACTTTGTGAGACTACCAATTTCATATCGATCTATATAAATTTATAATCAGCAAACTATGGGAAAACGTTCATGTGGTTTTTAGAAGGATCGATATGTATATAAAGTGTTGACTTTATTATGAGCGCTGAATTAGTTGGTGGTGTGGCGTGGACTATGAATTTTTTATAAGTTAATTAAAGACTCTGGCTAGAATAACTTACGTGTACCACTATAACACTACAAAAGTAAATTAATGCTAATGTATAGATGAAATAGATATCTTTAGAACTATTATCATAAATTTGTTTTTGAATAAAGGCATTTACTGCTATATAAAATGGAGAATCAGACTTACATTTATTTTTGTATTAAAGCTTCAATGAACAAATACAAAATATAAAGGTGCATAAAATGTAAATATACAGAGTGAGAATCTCTTGTATTTGTATTTAGGTAAATTAGGATATAAACCACCGCAACTATTCATCGATATTAAAAATAGTGAGTGTTAATTCCAAATATGAACACAATCGCAGTTTTCACAAAACCCAGCACCTAATTATAGTAATTATAGACTACTTGTTGTTTACACACAAGAAAGATCGTCAATTAAGAAATATTTTTTGTTTATCACAATATTATTACTTACCTATAGAGGGACGGACGATGCAAACAGGCAGATCTATATGATTATAGACTATGGACTCAGCCAGAGCCTTCGTCAGTGTATAAGGATTAGGATGTTCTCCCTGTAAATATGTATAATTAAAGTAATTTTTTTATGAAAACACATACATATAATATAATCTAATTAAAACCACTTTTTTCTATGAAATCTTTTTTTTTACTCCAATGTTTAATTCTGAAAGACAAGATTACAAAAATCTCACACAGTTTACAAATAATTTATTTATTGTTCTTTATATCAATATTCAACGGTATTTTTTTAATAAGCTATGTGGGTCTAGTAGTATTCCATAGTATCAGTCAACCAAAGCTATAGCTAGTCAAACCTATAGCTAGAGCCTAACACCCTAACAAATAAAAAAAGTACTACTATAATGCTGCAACTGATATGTTTGAGGAACTTCATAGTTTACTGTTCAATTTTGGGCTGTCATCCTAATTAATTTCGTACATTTATTGAGAAAAAGAAAATTAAAAAAAAGTATTTTTTCCTTACATTATTGCAAATTAGAAAGAATTTTAGAATTATCAAGTTTAGTTACCTGTAATGTTCCGCTAATAACATCAATTGTTTCAGCAGGCAACATTTTTGCGCAACGCACAATACTATCGGGATCATATGGAGGAGGGTAAACTCGTTCTTCGATATGAGATCGCGGGGCGTTGCTGTACGCAGTCGAAACGTGTACCAACGCCTGGAAGATAATAGCAGAGTCTGATTGTAAAGTTATTCGTTGATTTGTCTGGGTAATAAGTAATGCACTGCTATAATTTTATTCTGAATACATTAACCAGACGTAGACTGTAAAAAGTTGTCTAAGTGGGTATCTCGGTCTCCCTAATTCGCTAAACATCTTGCTTTGTAAACCATGTTTCGGTTGTGGAGACCAGATTATGCAATTACGCAGTAAAATTACTGGATGAGGCATGACATCTTAATCCTCAGGAATAGCAACGCATAAATGTTATCACAGGTGTCACGTGAAAACGTGATGCCTGTAATTCTATTCATGTATATTGGGTACGGTTAAAACTTACAAATAGATGAACCTTTACCCCGTTAAGTTATTTTATTTACATAAAAAATATGACTGCTTAGTCCTATATGTAGAGGCAAAGAAATATACATATATCACAGTCTGTTTAAATGTCTAATTGACTCCAGCTTATTTCTAAAAGATGTCCAATACAAACCTTCAACTTCGGCATATCTTCAGCCAACTTAAGAACTGATGCTGTTCCTTGAACATTCAACGTAGTAGCAGCATGTAAAGGATCAGTGAATCGTACAGTTGCCGCTGAATGGAATAGTGTTGTCACATTTTTCAGCAGCTCCCGCTGTTCTACACTAACCCCAAGGCTCGGAGCAGACACATCTCCTGTGATTGGTGTCAGTTTTCCAAGGCGATCAGGCCAGCGCGCGCGAATACGGTCAAATACCTGACGAGTTTAAGTTTTTTTAGTGAACGCTAATAGAAAGGTGCATCCGCCAGTAGATGAACTGACCTGACCTCATGTTCATATTATCAGAACATAAGGTCAGGTCAGTTAGCCCATCGTGACAAATTCACTAGGAATGATTATGATGGTTTCCCAGTTATATTACGAGTATATTCGGATGCAATATTTGGAAATGACTTTGAAGACCTTAGAATTTACGAAACAGAATCATTTGATTGGAAGAATAGTTAGTCATTCATTGGAATATTGGAAATTGTGTTAGTTATGTTAGACTATTTTTAAGCCAGAAACGTAAATAGAAAAGTTAGTGGAGTAAAACATATTGATGACCTTAATTTTTTATTAGTCTTTAAAAATTAATAAAGAAGGTAAGCTATGTTTACATTTTGATTTGTTAAATTAGATATTTTAAGTTAAAAAAAAAGTGGTATTATTGCCATTTTCGTTTATAGACATCATATTATAGAAATATTGAAAATGAAAAATAATGATATTTAATATAAAACAAATATTAAAACAAAGTACAATTATACCGACCTGTAGTTTAAAATATAAAAATACACACCTGATTCTTCAACAGTTCCTTATACCTTTGGTCCACAGTCAGTCCTCGTTTAGGTCTCATCAGAATGTATATGGTATCAATACCTGGACAACTTCTAAGCAACTTCTCCAGAAGTGCCTTCCCAACGAAACCTGTACCTCCAGTGACTAGGATCACTGATCCATCATACCATCCAGCAATCGATTCTACTGAGCCGTTCTCTGGGACTTCGCAATTGATGCTGTGAGCATCCATATTCATGTTTGGTACCGATGGATCATTGCTGTTCAGAGTGTCAAGGTCAGGGTTTTTCCTATTAGAAAGAAATAATACTATAACAATGTAGTAATGATTTTTATATGCCACTTAACAACTCGCTCTTGGTTTACACGGATTCAAGCAAATTGCCTTTCAATTTCTTTAAGGTTTTACCTTAAAGAATTAGATAGGTAATCGTTCCTCTAGTTCCAGAATAGTTATAGAGATGAGAAAGCGATCTGTTCTGTTTTTGAGATTGCCGCGGACATACAGACAGGCGTGATAAGGGGCTTTGTTTTATAATATACGTAGGTAGATATAGACCAATACGAAATTAGTTAATTTAAAAGGCATCTTACTGGCTTGGGTCCAATTTTTCAGTAGACATAATCTTCACATCCGTATTCATCTTGCCTTAGGGTGTGGTTACGCTTCCACAATATTTAAATCTGGAACAAAAGAAGTTAATATTATATAAAGCTAAGATATACATTGAGAGAGGTAGAGAAGATATTTAAAGAAAAGGCGCATATAATTAGGAAATATCTTCCTGATTGATTCCTATCAATGTTCGTAAATTTATTTTGGTTTTCAAATGGTATTTTTTTATCTTCCTAATTTGTTCATACCACTGTAATTTTTTCCACACTACAGAGAAAGTACGGAGAGTATCATGATCAAGTGGTTTACCACCCCGACTACAACGACTGGACAACATTAGAACAATAACTTTTTGTGTTAATATATATTTCTGTCTGTCTCTCTGGTGAAGGAGACAAAAATGAATATGAGAAACGGCGGTGACAGGATTGTTTGATACAAATATATCCTGTGAAATATAACCACGTCAAGTATTGCGTTTCCCACAACATTGAGAGTTAACCGTGCCTCTATCTATCGCATCTAGGATTAGAGATGTCAAGTTCTATTATCCTGAAATTAGTTCAGTCTTTAATTATAATAATAATAATAATAACCTCAGGACAATTCACACAGCGCCATTTTTTTTTGTAAATGCATATATACTATACATAGAAAACAACCAGACCGATAAAACAATCATACGCATAATTACAAATGTTTGTACTGTGCGAGGAATCGAACCCGCGACGATCGGTCGTAAAGCGGTATGCTAGACTGCTAGACCAACGAGGTCTTCAACATATGACCATCCAAACAGCTTTTACTGACTAATTGAACAAAATACTTGGGTTTGTTATCCGTCTGTCTAAGACTATTCACAGGTAGATCGCGATCCATAATGCATTCAGCAACAATATTCCAATACATATTTATATTTCGCGCAATAATAATCTAATTATTATGCATACATTCTTAAAATTATTCATAATGATTACAATGAATACAAATATCGCCAATATATCCCATGCTGTCGTGGTTTATTCCGCTCATAATAAATAAACACTATATTTCGACAGCGTTATTTCAATGTCATTATTTCTAAAGCTTTTAGTAACAGTGTTGTAATATATTGTAAATATATAAATTTACGAAACTAGGATATTGTAATAAGTGGAGATTACGTTAAAAATAAAATTTATATAGAGATTCAATAAGATTAGTTTGATACCGACTCGTAATTGGGACAGTTTCATGTAGCTGAAAGGAAATATTAAGAGAAAAGTTTAAATTTTAATGGGCTTCTATCGTATTTTGGTAAATCATTTTACACTGATTACATGATGATGATGAGACATGCTTTTTATATAACTGAAATCTATAACCGGCAAGTAGCATCTGGTAGTATCCGGTAAATAAAACAAAATCCGGTAACAAATTTAGTGCACTCCATGAATACTCTAATATCATTGTCTACGTATGTATTTCACAAAAAAAAAAAACAATATTTTTAATGAGTTTAAATATTCGTTGTGATTTTTAAAGTTATTAGACAATAAAGTTTCTGTGTCTTCGTTACCTTTTCTAAACAAAATACTATTTATAAAAATAGGCTGTATACGAGGCCGAACATAAGCTACATTTAATCTAAAAAAGTAGACGAAATTGTGGGCAATGGGTAGTATTTTATATTGTTGTTTTTTCATGTTTTATGAAGAATATCATTTTGTTTTTTTTTTCATCCGTACTGTATATATATATGGTCTAGTCGAGTCAGTATGTATTCATGCAATCTCTGCGTAACTGAAAAAAATTACTCACACATTTTATGTATTTCCTAATGCTGAGCTGATGATGGCAATACATAGAAGGGATGTTTAGATATACATATATATATTTATCGCAGAAACCATTAATAAGGTTTAAGCCAGTAATTATATAACGATTAATTTTTTTTTTCTGATTGTTAATTTTTTTTTAACTGCAATTTCATGCGAGCTCACTCTGATAATAAGTTACAAAATATACACAGAAACTATATAACAGCACCATGGGTGTTAAATTATTATATGACTATGTACCATTCAAGGAGTAATCAAGGGTTAAAATGTAATACCTGCGTACTCCGTGATTTTACTGTCCTATCTTACACTTGTTTCAGTTGAACTTGTTCATCTTTAATACAATCTGCGACTTCCATTGAAATTTTCAAACATTATCTTAATTTTATAATACTATTGAGCCTACGATTTAGTCAGAAAATATTATATTGATATAAATAAAATCTTTTGCGTCAAGGGAGTTACAAAAAAAATTAATCAGTATAAAACAAAAAATAATAACGACTGAAATAGGGACTACTGAAAACATATTTCGCTATTTCTTGTTGCTTAACAGTTCTTTTTTAATAAAATATATATGACACAGGTCTTACAGAATAATAAAAGAAAACCTATGTTCGTACTTGTTATATAAATCTATCTTCACGGCAAATTTAAATAAAATAAAGCCCAGAAAAGGTAATAAACTGATGATCAGACCGATAGACACGCTTTCTTTTTTATAAATATATATATTAGTCTTTTTATATGTAACTAGCTACCGACCCGACTTCGCACGGGTGTACATGTATTATACATATAAACCTTCCTCTTGTATTACTCTATCTATTAAAAAAATGCTTCTAAATCCGTTGCGTAGTTTTAAAGATTTAAGCATACATAAGGACGGACAGACCGCGACAGCGAATTTGTTTTATAATATGTAATAATGATATATAAAAAACCTTGTCTAAAAAAACCTTTAAATCGACATGTATAAAAACGTTGTTTTTATTTTAAAAATCTATAGGAATTTTTACAATAGAAAAATTTTACAATAGATTTAAATAATTTAAAACTATTTACCTCATATTTTAAAACTTTCTTATAATATTTATGACTAAAAATTATACTAAACTGAAACTCTTGTTACCATAAAGTTACTATTTTTAACATTATATATTATTTAAAAAAGTGCATGCGCAACAAAATTATACACCTATGTATGATATATTAGGTTAAATAATAAAAAATAATTAATTAATTAAAATAAATTGTATATAAAATTTGATATATAATAAAAAATAACTCACCCTTAATAAAGGGAAACGCCCAGCTCCTGAGCGGTAAAAAGAAAACAAATATAAAATATCACTGTATCATTTTTTTAGCACCGTAGCGCTCACTGTCTGTCCAGTATAACGGCTTGGCTTTCACTGATATTAAGTTCACGTAATAGGGTTCTGTAATACTTTGAAAACACACGACCGTATATTGCACGCGTAGCCGTTACGTTTTGTTTGAATATAATATTTTTTCCTTACAAAAAGTAAAATGAAAAATTATTCTCCTTTGTTTGTTCATTTCTTCTTAACGCTTCCAAAAATGTAGTATTTTCTATAAATTAAGTAGGTTGGCACAATATATTTATTACAATTTAGGAATTAAATTTTATTTATTTCAACACGACATCACGCAGACAATCAATTGACTGTTCTGATGATTCCTAGTGTAGGTATTTATACTACAGATTGATACAGCGCCATATCATGGTAGCTCATACGACATGGTGCAGAAATGCATATTTTAAAGTTACATTAGAATAAATTAATAATAAAACTCAGCTAATATTTTCCAAACTAAACAAATTTAATAATACCAAAAACATATTTCTACTCTATTTATAGATTTCAATAGGTGTCTTTCAATAATTCAAATAATAGTCAAAGTCTGCTGACCATTATCAGCTTCTTATACAATTATCTCTTCATAGTTCCAATTTACAATTTACTGAGGTGACCTTTCTTAAAAAGTCGTCTAATTGGGTAATTCTGCCCTACAAGGATATAAGGATTATAAGGTTTCCGTTCAATTCAAACGGGGATTGTAATTACGACGATATTACAAAACGTTTAAACCCCCTACGATGCTTTCAGACAAAAGTTATATCCGTCAGGCAGGAGTTGGCCTTCAGCCGCTCAATAAATCGTTCCGCGAGTTTGGAGTGCCATCTGCACTCGCCCTCTATCGTCCGGTAAAGCAATAATAGCCAGATGCGGACAGCAGCATTAGAATAGTCCGAAAAATAAAATACCTCTAAAGGAATTTCATAGCGACGTGTGTGCTCCATATGTCCGGTCGTATGTTACAAACGCTTATGCATAGATGGACAAACAGTTTGAGGGCTTTTTCACAATTATGTCACATTGACCCTACTTGAGTAATCTGGCTAAATCCGCTAAAAGCTATTTATATTCACATGATTTGTGTCAAATGAACTGAGCTAATGAAATATTAATTGACTGAGACTTTTAATTATGCATTTTTATGGACAGAATGGAAACAAATAGTTATTGAACACATACATAAGTATTTACGTAACATTTTTTTTAAATGACTACTAAAATCACAATTGTGTAGTAGGAAACTCTATTTATATACCTGTTAGTTGGATTTGTAAACAAGTTGTCTATGTAATGAAACTGATGGAAAGTGGTCACCGTTACCTAGCAACATGAGCAGAAATCACTTCAGTGTGTGTTTGTGATATCCGTAGTGGATATCACAAAACACATAAATGACATCAATGCCTTGTCATTCCCAACTACTAACTTGTTATGCCATTGTAAACCCAATTTCACCGCATATTTCACCTTTAAAACCGGAATACTGTTCGACTCGTCTACAGAAAGAGTCGAGACAAAAACACTTTATAAAAATTTTCTTTCTTTTTGGTAGCAATAGCGGGGAGAGGTGGGGGATAGGTTAAAGTTTTATTATTTCTTTACTCTACTATACCAAGATTGTATTCTTTCAATACGTTATAGATGGTTTAGTCAGAGGCATTGTTAACTTTGTGATGAACGCAACATTTAATATGTCTACATTTCGCTAAGTATATGTATGTTCGTTGTGACACGGGCTTAACCTACCCTGTCTTAACATCTAAATCTACATATACCGTAGAGCAAGTTAAAAACTGTTTTATATTTGAATTTAGAACGGGTATAGTTTTTTTTTAATATTACAGGAATAGG